AAATCACAACAAATGAGAAAGGGGTACTTTTAATGTGCATCTCTGTTAAGTGGCAAAAGTTGATGTAATTATGCTTTGAATTGTTATTTAACCACTCAAATTATGTTGATTATAATCTATTCTTCTCCCAATGTAGGATGAATTTGAAGAATACCTAGGTACTAGAGCAAAGATCATAATTCTCAAGTTAATTAAAGAAAAATTGGAAAAAGGGAAGAAGATTTTCAGTCTAAGATTTGTTCGAGCAAGGTGGATGCTCGTTTGAGGTTAAAGCTCTCAGGAATTCAATCGCTCAAGCAAACAATTCTCGCTTGAGCGAAAATCACCATTACTCGCTTGAGCGAAAGTTTCGCTTGAGCGAATGCTGTGAAATTTTTCTATAAATAGATAAGATGCGTTTTGAGAAAGGAGTTTGAGATTTTGAGAAGAGAGGCGACATCTACTCTAGTTTTCGTCCAATCTTCAATTCCTTTTGAATTCTTCTTCATTGGATCATTGTAATGGTCATCATGAGTGACTAACTTCATTCTCTTAGGATTGAGTGCACTTCCTTTGAACTATTTTGTATCTTGGTGATATTTTGATATATTAATCTATGTTATTGATGTTGATATTCTTATTATTTGTGCTCTTTAAGGTTTACCTTTGATGTTTGGGATGTATTGGAAAATATATCTTAAAACCCTAGATCAGGTTAAGAATATTTGCTACGTTAATTGCTAGGAATAGAATGAGCGTATCAATTGCTTAACACCCTAGACCTAATGCTGAGAAATCTCTTAAATATATGAGAAATCAATGTTTACTAGGTTTTCTTATGAATTTCATTGTGAGGAATCAATGTGAATAATTTAAGTTGGTGACATCAACATTGATAGGTTAATTGATATTCTTAATTTGACCTAGTCATTATACAAAAGAGAGAAAAAGAATTAAGTCAATCCTAAGTTCTTTTATTTGATCTTTTCTAAAAACACTTTATAGTCCTTTGCCATTTATTTTCGACCCAAATTTTTATGAAAAACCAATTTTGTGTTAATCCACTTAGTAAGCTTATGATTTAGAATTTCCAGTGAAACCGTTCCTTGTGGGATCAACTTTTATTTAATCGAAATACTATACTGTGATTGATAATTAGTACAACTTTTATGCAATTATACTTTTTTCAAATTTCACAAAATCGCACACTCGTCACAAGGAAAGAATATGCATTTCCTTAGGAATACTCGGAGACACATCAATCAGTAGGTTGTATTACTGTCAATCAAAACTAACAAGTGATGGTTTAATTATATATGATGCTACTGAAATATTTTCTGATATTGATGTATACTTAGAAATCACAATTCCCTTTTGATAATATCATTGAGTTATATGTTAAATATACATGATCGATTAATGAGATAATGATGCTTCTAAATCTACCTGTTTCTTCCTGTTCCACAAACCAAAATAACATCCTTTCCTTTGAAGTTATAATTTACTTTAGTGGTCTTCTTCAACATGCAATTATCATGGAAAGTCCAACTGATTTTGGTCTTATTTATATATGGTGTAACCCTAGAACAATGGTAATCCAACACATATGATCTTTTGCTTAACTATTTGAAAATATTATTCAAGTACTTGACTATGGAGATCACAAACAAATAACCAAAATCAACTATCATGGACCAATTTGAGTTTGAAACCGAAAGATCATTCACAATTAGAACAAATTAAAACTAATGCTGATGTGGCCCAAATGATCAACCGCAGGAAAAAAATAAAATAAAAGCTTTACACCCAAACGTGCAATGTGAATAAACATGGGGAAATATTGAATTGTTTGTTCAAGTTATGATTCTCTTTCAATATTATTATTGAATTATATGTTAAATATACAAGATCGATTGATGAAATAATGATGCTTCTAAACCCATTTGTTTCTTCCTCTTTCACAAACCAAAACAATATCCCTTCCTTTGAAGTTATAATTTACTTGGGTGATCTTTCCCAACATGCAACCATCATGAAAAATCCAAATGATTTTGGTATTACTTGTATATGTTGTAACCCTAAAACAATAATAATCCAACACACATGGTCTTTTGCTTAACTATTTGATAACATTACTCAAGTATTTGATTATGGAGATCGCAACCAAATAATTGAAATCAACTATCGTCGTCCTATTTAAGTCCGAAACCAAAAGATTATTCACGATTTTTAACAAATTAAAATTAATGTTGATGTGGTCCAAATGATCAATTGCTAAAAAAAATAAAATAAAAGCTCTATACTCAAACATGCACTATGAACAAACATAAAAAAAAAATTGAATTGTTTATTCAAGTTAAGATTATAAGAAAAGTAACACCTGAGAAAATGATTTGCTACTTAAAATATATATAGTACATACATTGATAAACACATATGATAAGGATCACATTTGTCTTGACTTGCAAGATAATTTTCCAATTACTTTTATCTTCTATTATTTATAGTTTAACTATATTGGTATGTATTGTTTCAATTATCCATCTTTTATTTATAATCTTTTAATATTTTATATCATGAAACGATAATATATATATATATATATATATATATATATATTAAATATAAAAATACAAGAATGTGTATTTATTAAATATAAAAATGTGTATTTATGAAATATATATGAAATATATACAAACATATAATTATATAAATATGTTTTTTATATATATATATATATATATATATATATATATATTAATTATAATATCCCACATAAAAGGAGAAAAAAAACTGCAATTCAGAATTCGGATCTGAGAATCAAATTTTGACTGAACACTATTGAGAAAGTATAGTATTCCTGAAAAAAAAATCAAATTTATCTTTATTTAAATGAAACCCCAAAAAATAAATGAATTGAGTGAAAAAAATCAACAATTTATAAAATAAAATAATGATTTCTGAAGCAACCATTTGAATTGAATTGATAAATTTAAAAAAATTGATCATTGAAAAATATTGATATAAAGTGGTTTAGGGTTAAAAAAATCGAAAAAATGAAAAAAAAAAAAAAGACTTCTAATTTGAGAGACAAATATTTATTGGTGTCAATGGTGATTTCTCATTCGAAATTCGGTTTTCCAATTACCAAATTCTTATTTTATACAATAAATCGGTCCATTTTAGTAAATAAAGTGAGAGTGAATTCATTTGAGTAAATAATTATTGTTTAATATTATTTATGAAAAAAAATTAAAATATGATATGATATAAACTCAATCTATTTTTCTTTTACAAAAATAAATAACCAATTGAGAATTCACACATATTCATACGTTATTAGTACTACTATATACAACATAAAAAAAACCCAACTACATCTTTAAAGTCTTTTTTTCATATTTTTTATTAATCTTTATAGATAAATATATGTACCCAACAATGGAGATAAGAATAAAATTGTTATTCATATGAGTGTAAAGTTAGTACTATATCTTTTACAAAACACAAATGTCATAGTAACTTATCTAAACCCTACCCATTATGTGATGGCAAACCATTTCTTCAACATTCACTTCTCAATTAAAAATACACAACATGTAATTGTTCTGAAAAGAAAAATCTCTGTAAGATTAGAATTGTGTTTTTTCATATCATATTTGGGAAATGCAATACATTTCCTTTACAAAGTGACAAAATCTGTAATGCCATGCTATATTATGCACAAAATTGAAGATTTCGGCATATTTTGATCTTTAAATATGACTATAACTGTAGTGGTCGTTTATCAATAGCGAGTCTCCTGTTCAATTGTGACTCGAAAGCTATATAATTAATTCATGTGCATGTGAATTTAAAAACCAATAGGATAGATGTTACAAGGAGAAGATGAACTTGTTGTAATCAATTCCAAGAAAGAACCAAAGAATTCTTTCATGAATTGTTAGATTATTAAGTAGTCAGATTTTGTTTCAAGTGAAATAGTAATATACTCAAATGATAGCCATAGCTTCTGTTATTATTTTCTAATTGATCAAACAAACCATTGAAATAGGAATAAATGAAAAATAAGAAACAAGTCTAAGAAAACGTATGCTATGCCATTTATTGCATATTTAATGAAGGTGACTTAAAGTCCCTCATAAAGCACCAAAGACCTGCTTGAGCTACATAACTCCAGTTACGTCCAACTAGGGATCTGCTTAAAGTCTCTCATAAAGAGCCAAATCATCGAACATCAGCAGATAAAACAAGGATCTGGTTTATTTTCTTTTAGAGAAAATTACCAATCACACACCTTCACAAAATCACCATCAAAGACAATCGGATTAAATCGAAGCAATTAATTTCTGATTCAGCTTCCAACCTCTACAAGCTACCAAGATGTGTTCTAAAGTTGAAATCAAAAGTAAACTGAATAACAGGAAAAAAAAACAGAGGGACAGAATTTCCTTTAAGCCGAACAAAATAAAAGAATTTAAAGAATGATGAAGGGGAAAGCACATATCTATCTTTTTCATGGAACTGTACAATGCAACTTGAATTCAGAAGTGGAAGTTATTTTTATATTCGAAAAAACTATTAGCTCAACTTCCTGTGAGAATGACTTTTTTTTTTTTTTTAATATTCAACACCATGAACAGTAGAAACAAAACAGTTACTTTGTATTTGCTTGGAAGCTGAAACAGAGCACAATAAAACAAGCATGCTGGTTAATTCATCTGCATTACTTACTAGCGAAGGGGAAAAGAAGAACTTCTGAATGTAAATTATCAGAACAAATAAGCATAACGTTCGAATCCTCCATTGTTGATTCCTTATGACATTTCTTACAGAAATACAGCACAGATCAGAAGAAGTGAATTACAGTTAAAATCTAGGAAGAATTATATGATTATAATTTATAACATTACATAAATAATATAGAGTAAACATGTTATCTAATTTGCAGAACATATATAAAACTTATCAAAATAAAATTTATCTCTGGGCACCAAAAATGTTCATCATTTGTCCATTACCTAGCGGGTTTTGACGAATTCTGCATCCGAAACAGCAGAGTTCTCGATTTGGCTAGCCTCGTCTTCGTCAATAGGAGCCGGGAGGTTGAGATCTATGAAGCTGTTTCCAAACTTTGAGGAATTTGATGGGACTGTTGCGGGTGCTGACCCAGTAACATGGGTTCTCTTGTGTCCCCCAAGTGCTTGACCCGAAGCGAAGACTCTGAAACAAACGGGGCACTCGTGGATTTTCTTCTCCACGCCACTCGTTCCACTCTTCTTCCTGTGTTCAACTTCCGCTTCTTCACCGTCCACTTTCACGTTCACTTTGATCTTTTTGTGACTCGCTCGGTGGCCTCCCAACGCTTGGTACGAGCGAAACACCTTGTTGCACGTGTCGCATTTGTACCTTCCTCGTACTCGGTTCTTGCACAGTTTCGTCGTCTCTTGGGATTCCTCGCTCTCCTCGAACGCTTCGTCCTCCTCCTCCTCCTCTTCCTCCTCCTCCTCTTCTTCCTCCTCCTCGTATTGATCTTCCACCTCCACGAATTGCGGTTGGTCCTTCTGTCGCTTCCATTTGTCCCTGGAAAGCAGCATCAGACAAAACGCCACGTCTTCCTCGGTGGTTGCTTCGGAAACCGAGCTCGCAGGTTCGTGGTCCACCCACGATTCTGTCTTACTCTTCTTCTTCATCAGGGCTTCATGTTCGGTGCCGAAAACTTGCTTCTTGATGCTGGTGGTGGTGGTATCGTTGTTAGTATCGTTATAATAATAATAATAATTGTTGTTGTTGTTGTTGTTATTATTATTATTATAATTGGATGGCCTTTTGGATCTTTTACGAGTTGGGTTGCTTTTGGATGACTCAGACTCGCTCTCTCGGTCATGGAGGATGGCGGAGCCGGTGTCTGCAGCTGCGAAGGAGAATTCGGGATCGACGAGGCGAATGCTTCGCTTGGGGTTCTCTCTGAGGCCGTAAATGAGACCCTTGTCACCGTCATCGTCGTCGTCATCATCGGATGAGGAGGAGGACGAAGAAGAAGCTGATTCGGCCTCGAAGCTGAGTTGGATGGTTCGCGGTGACGCTTCTTCGGGCTTGGAGAGAGGAAGGTTCATCATGTGAGAGCGCATGTGACCCCCCAAGGCTCTGCCATTGGAGAAGCTCCGGAAGCACAGCTTGCACTTGTGCTTGTCCATGGCGAATCAATGGAACCGAGTAGAAGAGGGTGTTGGCATTTCGGTGAATTGAATTGCGCTCTTGTTGTTGTTGTTGTTGTGCTTGTGTTGTGCTTTGTGAGAGAGAGGAAGGGATCGAGTGCGAAGTATGAAAGGAGTAGGTGACAAGCATTCCTCCACCAAGGGATATAAAAATATGGAAGAAATAATAAAAAGTCAAAAAAGGAAGAGAAAATTAAAATGGGGGGTTTCTTTATTTCCCCTTTTACGGAAACCGTAAAAAGAATTAAAATTTGAATTTATTGAGGTTTAATTAAAGATGTGCATGCATCAAGGGAGAGAAAGAAGTACATGTAACATGCCACTCTTGCCCGTTTCTGTATTAATTCCCCACTCGATCTCCCTTTTCTTTTATTCATCATCTTCAAACCCTTTTTCCATTTTACACCATATCAAGAAACTTACCATTATTTAAGCAAGACGTTGTTTCTTTAATGCGAAATGCCATTTTCTCATTTTCTACAATTTCCTCCCATCATTTTTATTTTATTTTTTCTCTTTCTGTTCTTTTTTTCAGTTTCATTACGTTCAATTATGAAAGTCAATAAATCCAATATATATCATTCATATCAATGCTCAAAAACTATATTATTTATTATAATTTATAATTGACTGCTTTCATACAAGTCAATGTATGAATTACATACAGCGAAGGGTATTTTTGAAAAATAACGGGATTTTGTTGCAAAACCAAGGCAGAGAGAGGACCTTCTTTTATGACACAAATAAAACGACCTCGTTCAGTTCGGAACGTGATATTCAACTGAGATATAAACGACAACCGTCGAAAAGAGGAATTACACGTAACTCACATCACCCACGTGTCGTTTTAATAACGAACGGGTTTGGCAAATTGACTCTATTAATTTATTAGCTTATTTATAACAAAAAATAATAATAATAACATTAATAATATAATTATTATCACCATTAATTATTATTAATTACAAATAAGAAGTTCTGATTCTGTTGCTTTTGTGAAGGTGATCTCAGAGGCAATTGGCAATGGGGTGGTCTTTTACGTAGTGTGAAATACTATTTATTTTTATTTAACAAAGTAATTTTGATTTTTTGAATATTATGTTGAGGTCTGTGGTGTTGAGATTGATAAAGGTTTTCCCTTCAATTTTGGATCTTTTGTTGAAGAAGATGTGTGATGGGAAGGAAGGGTGAGAAACTAACTGTCCTCCCCTTGAGAATGGAGATATTCAAATTCTACGAGAAGTAAATGCCGTTTTGTTAGGGGTTGGTAGACCAAGTCCCACTACTAACCACTAACTCTCATTGGTAGTTCCCCCATACACACACATACTCAAGCTTTCGTTTATTTTCTACTTTTCCTTTTCACTTGTTGAAAACAAAATGCTCCTTCCCATGATGAGGGTCTCAACATGCCATGTGTATCAAATCCATTTGCCTTATATCCATTTCTTCTTTTCCAATCAAATCTATTCAAATTTGTTCTTAATTTTTACAATTAATATTTTCATAAATGACTTAATATTATTTTCGGTATACATATGTAATATTCTTTTCTTGGCAATCACACATTACTTACATATTCAAATTAATTAATTTTATAAAATTAATTAATTATATTGAATAAAAGTTGCATGTCTACAAAATTATAAGAATAAAAATGAATTTAAGTAAATCTATTTTTTATCTTTATGACTTTTTTATATAATTTTATTCCATTTTTATTTACTCACAAGCCTGTTTTCTCCCATTAATTTATTATACACTTTCATTTGTATTTTTTTTTTATCTTCTATTATTCATTTTTGTTTAATTAACACATACAAACCCTCTATGATACTTCCCTGACAGTCTTTGTAACCACAAATTTTCAATTATATATTTCCTTTCTATAAGGAAAATAATATAATATTTTGTTCCTCACGTAATTTGAACCTTTAAAAATATTTAATAATTTATGTTATTTACATGGATATTATAATATTAATCCTCCGCATGCACCAAAATGAAGTGTGAAAAATTGTATCTGACGTAAGCTTAAAATCTATGAAAGACTGGTAATAAAAAGGTCAAATGAAAGGGAAATTGGTATTATTGTCTTGCGTTGACCATTTTGTAAAGTAGGACTTTTTGACTAGACGTTAGAAAGGTAATAAAAATGTATGGAGTTTCGTAAGTTTAAGTTTGATGGTTATCTTGTGTGAAATAAAAGAAGACAATTAAACAGTAAACTCATTAATTACTAAAACGAAAACCACATTTATCTTACCACGAAATTACAATACTTGTTAATTAGCATAGTTTTTAAACTAAGTTTTTATAGTAAACGGATACTAATACTAATACAAATATAAATATAAATTATTTATCATTATTATTGATTTTAATTTTAATAAAAAATTATATAAATAATTGTGATAATATAAAATTATAATATATATACATATATATAATGAGAGAGAGATGAATATAAAATTATTTTTATATATTCAATAACTTTTTATGCAATGTTTTTTTTATGAGTTGACCAAATTTAATATATAAATGGAGATTATTTCAAAAGTTACAAGTAGTATACCCTTTACTTGAGTTTTACTTGTTTTTATAATAAAGAATTAAAGTAATAATGTGAATCATAATTATTATATAATAATAACTTTTTTTTAATTTACATATATATAAGGTTAATATTATCACTATTATATTTTATTTTTATAAATTTAATAATAATAATAATATATAATTATATAAAGAATTCTATTTTTATAATTACTTTTAGTATTTTTTATAAGACAATTTCATCTTTTGTCAAATTAATAATCACTCATCTAATTGCTCACTTACCTTGAAATAACTACTCAACCTCCGTTATCAATAAAATAATAATTATTTAATAAAAATATGAATTAGTAATTACTTACGTATCTATCCATTTACTTAAAATAATCACTCAAAATATAAATTTTAAAATGAAACCCATTTTCATTAACAACTTTTTTTTAACAATAATATATATAATTTACTTTTTCAAAATTTAAAATTAAAATTAATATAAATATTAAATTTTAATTTAACTTATCACAATAAAATAACATATTAAAAAAATATGGACATCTATAATATGTCTAATTCAAAATAATAATAATAATAAAATATTAAGTTTTACTTACAGTAAAACATACCTGTATAGTTTGGGACCAATCTAACTTACATATTAGTATATTTTGAACACTAAGTGATTCTCGACTTACACAGAATCAATGTGCATAAAAAAGATAATTTTTACCATACCGATGTTTCTAAACTTAGATTTAATGTCTCAATAGATACAATAATTTGGTTTCCACGTTGCTTTGAAATAAAGATTGGAATTTATTTTTAATAAAGAAGCAAGATTATTTCAAAATCACTTTTTATGATGTCTATTATTATAAAATAGTTAGTAGGTAAATGAATAGTTTTGTATAAAGTCAAATGATCTAATATTTAAAAGTAAAAATAATTAATTATGTAAAAATTAAATATGTATTAATTGATTAGATAAGTACTTAATCGATTATGTGTCTAAATCTCTGTTTTAACATAACATGCTAATAATCGATTATGTTAGTACGTAATCGATCATATGACTTATTTTCAGACTATCATCTGTACGCAAATAATCTATTAGATATCCTGCTAATTGATTATCTACGTTAGTTGTAACATATTTTTACTTTATAAAAGGATGCAAACTTTTTCAATCAATATATCTTTAGAAACAATTAAAACTATAAGAAAGAACATTATGGACAAGAAAAGTGTGTGATTTTGTAAAATGTTTTGAAGATCAAATTCAAAGAAAATGTTACTTAGTTATAGGATACAGTGTTCTATGAGTTTAAAGTGAAATCGTTTCTTATCTTTATCTTATGAATCTTGTATTGAATTTTGATCTATGTGAGGTTAGCTACATCAGTTTAACTTGAACATAGTGAGGAGAAACATTTTAAGTATTCTAATCTTGATTAAAAGTTGTTGTAAGACAAGATTATTAGATTATGTTGTAATCTGTTTTAATGAAAAGGCTAAGGTTGCTTGGTTAAAACTAGATGTAGATTCAAAAAGAATCGAATCAGTATAAATTATTGAGTTCTTGTTTTCCTCTCTTTATCTTGATATTCTTGTTTTCTTAATAGTGTTATAATTCTTTTTAATTTGATTATCAGAAAAAGTTATTTAATAATTGATTAGAATTAAATTTTTTTTTGAAGTCTCAATTCACCCCTCTTGGGTATGTTCCATCATTAACATGTTTATAACATTTAACTCTTAAGAGGGTGTAGAAAATAATAGAATAAACATTCATGTCTGATCATCTCCAACAATTCTATCTTCTTTGTGTGTGTTTTTTTTTAATTATATAGGTCCTCAAAAATATTATCATTATCCCAAATTCTAAGACTCCACTCTATAATAAAGAAAGAAAATGTGTTGAAAAAGAAAAGAAAAGAAAAATAGATAAAATAGAATAAAAAATATTAGATATTAAAATAGACTTATTCAAATGAGTCAACCTGAAAAATAGAAAAGATTAATAAAAAAAAAATTGTAATCTCAATTGACCAAACTAATTTTTGTCTTGTTCATTTAGGATATGATATACATGGATTCATATGAGATTAACCCGTAGGCTCATGAGTCTTTCCATTTTATAGAAAAATACTTATTTTTTAAATAAAAAAATAATATTATTTTATTAATATATATATATATATATATATATATTATAAATTAATTTACTAAGAAATTTACTTATTATAAGAGTAAATATTAAAGTAAGTTTTTTGTAATCATTTATTGTTAAGATTAATTATAATAGATCTTCTTTTGTAATTTGTATATTAAATCATTAAATAAAAACTAATTTCATTAATATAATTTTAAAATATATTTTTTTATTTTTATATAAATATTTTTTAATTTTCAATCAATTTAAAATTGGTGACCCATTGGTCTCACGTAGGTTGAATTAGACTAAAAATTATAATCAATTTCAAAGTTAGATCAAGCTGGGTTAGACAACTCATCTTGACATTCCTATAAAATATACATATAACTATTCATTTAAGGAAAAAGTGATATGAAAAATAATTAAAATTGTTATTTAATTATAATTTAATATTTGTAAAATTACAAAATTATATATACCATATTTTTAGGTTGTTAGAATATTTATTAATGAGTGGTTAACAATAAAAGACTAATTTTTAACCTTGACTCAACAAATTGGTAAGTTAGGTGAATTGATTCATTTAAATATATTTTTTTAAAATTGGGTTAGATAATATAACTCACTAAAATATATTTTTATTTATAGATTTATACTTACACATGAGTTATTAAATATTGAAAAAAAGATATCAATACATCATTGTAATGAGTTGAATTAGATTATGAATCATGTTCACACTCTTAGACATAGTAGACTTTTTCGATTCTTGTTGTAAATCATTTTTTCTTTATAATACATCTTTTAACACTATAACTTTTGAAATGTATTTTAATCTATAAACATTGAGTAAAATATTCTTTATGGATTTTTTGTTCAAAAATACTATTTGTACAAAAGAATAAACAAACTAAAAGTATTTATATTGTTCATATTAATGTCAAAACGGATGAAATGAAACAACTAATATAGTTTTAACACTTATTAAATACAATCCAAAACAACCTCAAACTCTCATTGAACAACATCAAGAGAAACTATATATCTATTTGAAATAAATATAATAAATGGTTAACTAAAACAAGTAATTATAGTCTTTTTATGATGACTATCTAACGTTTATTTGCAAACACAAAATTAGAGTCATCTAAGATTAAATCTAAGGTAGAGTTTTTTCATAACCGCAAATTATAAAACATTATTTTATTCTTATAAATTTATACCAAATATTTATTGTGTATAATAAATATAAATTTGTTGAAAAGTTTTTATAATAATATAGTAATTCTTTTTTAATTCACTGACGATAAAAATAATAACATACTAAAAATTAACATATAATAATATTTTAAAAATAATAATATGTGATTACACAGTATAAAATGTGAATAAAATTGTAATAATCATTTTAAAAAATAATTAATAAATTCAAATATGATAAAAATTTAATTAAAATAATAATAATAGACAAAATTCATATAATTAATATGAATACTAAAACGATGTTAATATCTGTTCATAATAATTCAGATACACAAAAATTGTTGTTAGCTCTAAAAAGTCTATAGACATGTTAAACGTGGTACAAGTTAGATTTAATCACGAATTCATAAAGATGTTTCTACGAAGAAAAAAAGAAAAAAAGAAGAAGAAGCTAACTATACGAATATATTCACTACAAAATTCTTTATTTTAAATATAATTTTTTTTCTTAATTTAAGAGAATTTCATTTGTATATCTTTAATTTGTAAAAATATTTTATTTTGTATACAATAATTTATTATAATATCTTTCTTTGAGAGTTATTATTATGTAATTTTTATAGAATTTTTATTTGTAATACTTAAAAAGCCTTTCGTACTCCTAAAATCTAGGAAAATCTCTTCCGTAAATAATACTCATTCTTTAATTAAACAAGGTTAAAAAAAATTTAGAAGTAACATTTTGTATTTGTTTGTAAGTAAAAAATAATTATTGTACATTTTTTTTGTAATCAATTTAATTATAATAAAATCATATTCAAGTTTGTAAAATACAATTTTTAAATTATTATGCAATAAAAAGAATTATTTAAATTTTGGATATATATATATATATATATATATATATATATATATATATATATATATATATAACCAAAATTCATATATTATTTTCAAATTTTATAGAGATGAAAAAAAAATTATAGAAACCAAACTAAAAAATATGGTTAAGTTTTTTTTTATTATTATTAATTTCTTTTATTTCTATCGCATTTTTTCTACGTTATAATGTTAAAAAAAAATCGCATTTTATATAAGGAATTCAAGTTTAGTTTCATTAAAGTAACGATACGTTGATTTAACAATATTTTTTTAATTTATAATGACAATTAAAATGTATAATAGAATAGTGGATTTACGGTCCATATTTATCTAATAAATTAATTTTATATACAATCGTTTTCTATATATTATTAAGTACTTTAGTAAGAGAAAAATAACTGAAATGAAAATTTGAAATATAATAATAAATGATTTGTAACATTAGGTGTGCATAAAAACTAAAATCATGTTATTTAGATAACCACCAAACATCATCTAATAATTATTTTCAGATTTTTATATTATTATTTATCTATTTTATTTTATATTTTTTTATCAATCAAGAAAACATATTATTTTAAGATTGTTTATTAAACCTATGAAAAAAAAATTAAATGTCAAATAATTTTTTTCCTCAATTTTAAAAATAAGATAGATGTTTATACCCAATCACAATAAAAACAATAAAAAAATTAATTCTCCAAAAAATTAAAAATATACACCACCTCTTTTAACTATTATTATATTATACATTATTCTTATAATAGATAATTTGATTACATACATTAAAAAAAATGTTGTGGATTTAAATAAAGAAGAAAAAAAAGGTAGAGCTAAAAAAGTGTATTTTTTTTATAAAAAAAATGTAATGGAACGTAGAAAAAAATTAACAAAAAAAAATTGCATATATAATATTTTAATAAACTCAATTAGAAAATTACCCAGTTGACATTGGAGAATCTCTAGTCACTCCTCCTCATGAAGCATAGTAGAGAGTGAAAGATAATGGAACATGAAAGATAACAACAAACTTCAACGTGTTCATATTACATACAATATCTTTTAATATATCAATACGTAGAACGTGTTGATTATTCATAGTGGAATAATTGATAGTGGAATAGATTGTTGTAAAAATGATAAAGTTGAATAAGATATAAAAAATTTATAATTTAATATCTTAATATTTTGTATTGAAAATAGTGTTATATATTATTTTATATGATCGAGTAGTATGTCATTTATAATGAGGGTAAATTAGGGGGGGGGGACATTGAAGAGAATTTTGTCTCAATCTTCTCCCTGTTGTGACATGAAGTTTGAGACTCTGCATCATCAATGGTTTCAGGCATCCAATTGTTTTCAAGTCTTTGCTCCTTCATGAATACATATTCATAATTCATACAAGGGTTTCAAATTTTCCCAGAAAACCAACAAAAACAAAACTCTTGCCGAACCACATTGGGAATATTCATCCATAACTATCTCTGCACCAAGCTTCTGATGCATAACTTGTTTTGTAAACATGAAAAGTCAACAAGTATTGATGGAAGTTGAGAATTGTTAGGTAGAATGCCCGTTCCAAAACCATCAAAGAATGACAAGAAAAAAACAAGAGGGCTTATCTGGAATGCATGCAAGAAGGTGTACGACGGACCTTGAAGTACAAGATACAAAGGGTGTGCCAAAAATTGGGCCTTGATCATCTCATGGACATCAAAGTACGTACTCGATTTTCCCTCTCTACCTCCTTGGCCCTGGCAGTGTTCTTCAGTATCTGCAACTGTTCGAGCACCACCTCCTCAATTTTGTCGATAGAATTCAGAAGCTTCCTCCGTCGCTCCGATTCCTCTTTCGGCAGATTGGAAAACTCGAGTACAATCTTGGATACTTTGCTACCAGCGGCTGTGATTTCCCGAACCTTTACGCCAACAGACTTGGGAGGAGAACCAAACAACGCTCGCAAGACAGAACGCGGTTGAGGAGAACCGAACAACATTCGGTTCACAAACCGAGAATGAGAAGAACCAGACATTATTCTTTTCTTTTCAGGTACGTGTTTAAGCGATTCAGACAACGAATGCTGGAAGATCAAGAGATTCAGACAAGACCATGGCAGAACTCACTTAGGTATATATCCCACCTTTTCCAAATATTTATCTTACAACTCATTTTTAATAATAAAATAATCATAAATATCTAATAATAACTGTTGGATGATTTTTTTATACATATAAAAATGTTTATTTATCATCTCTATATTTTATATGAAAAATACTGTTATTTTTATTTTTATTTCTTTAAACATCAGTTCAACAATTGATTTTAATATTATAATAATAATAAATTAAATTTTAATATTTATTATTATAATATTAAAATTGTATTTTTTATATTTAATATTATTATATTATGTATAGTTATAGATATACTATTACTATTTTGAATAAGTTTTACCCATTCTAAAAATTAGATTTTTGGATTCGAAAAAGAAAATTAAGATAAAGTTACTGTTCTTTATTTTCTTGTGAATAAGATATCCCAATTGGATTTTAATTTTACCTATCATTGTATTTTTCTATAAAAATCAAATCTTTGATATATACAGTCATCATATGTGGTTTAGCCGTTATGTTTTACTCCTTGAAAAATAATTAAATTAAAAAAAATACCATTTTAACCTAAACGAAGGTTAAAGTAGTTTTTTTAAAATCTATTAATAAATATTTCTTAAAATAAAATAGTTCCTAATAAATTTTAAATAGATTAATTTTATTGTTGACAATATTTAAGAGATAGGGAGAAAACCAAGTCTGGTTGGACCCAAAGTTATATATACTATTTTGAATAAGTTTTCAACTTTCACTGGTGCTTAAAATTATATTTTGGGATTCGAAATAAAAATTAAAAGAGGGATAATATTCCAACATAACATTAAGAACACTCAAACATAATATTAAAATTAATCAAGTATAATCTTAATAAATTTAAAAAGAAAATTGAAGAATAATGAAAGTAAACAATAATGGAAAATAACATATAGAATAAAACTCCAAAAATAAAAAAAAATAAGAAGGTGAAACTAAAAGTGTTCTTGGTTTCTGTGGCTCTCATTCAACATGACGAGTAAATTTTTGAATCTTTAGAGTGTTTTAGGTGATAATTCTCATGTTAATCGAAATTTCAGTGCAGTGTTGAAGGCTTTAACTAACTTTGATGGAAGCAAGGTTGACTATTAAAAAAAAAAATGGCCGAAACAACGAAATATATTTAAACTTTGTGCCCAATATTGGAGACAAATGACTAATATTTCAACCTTATCAACATCAAAATTATACTAATCAATTAAAACCTACTTTCTATCTTTTACGAAAAAATAAACAAAACGTAAAATTTTACACCATTTCAAAAGTATTTTCTTAAACTGTCTCAAAAGTTATTTTCCGAAATGATCTTGAAATTTATTTTTGAAATGAGGAAAACAATAAAATGTAGAATTTCATAAAAATATTTTCATATATAATTGCAATGAAACTCAAGTAAGATAAAATTTCCATTAGTAAGTGGACCACAGAAAAAATGGGTTTTAGGGTTTAAACATTTTTTAGATAAAAGGGTATATTCCGTGATAAAAATAAAGGTAAAAGAAAGTGGAGTGCAAAGAAAAAAATCAGGAAGTTTAAATAGCAAAAAGGCCCATAACGTAATGAGCAATTAATCCAATCTAATCTCGAACTGGTGGAAAATTTATAAATGTTTGTCACTGATTTAAATGAACTGATTGGCATGGGTAAGTGTTTTTTTAGTTAAAAGTTTAACATGTTCTTTAACTCTTTTTTTTGTAAACTTAATCATTTTATAAAAACAAATTGCGAAAATTGGTGGAGAAAATAAAAAATTTAATACTATTAAGTTATTGATAACTATTTGATATTTTCATATTAGTAATAATTAAAAATAATAAAAGTAATGAGAGTGAGTTATTGAAAAAATATAAAGTAAATGAAATTTATATAGTATTTTTTATTTAAATTTAGAGATTATTATTATTATTATTATTATTATTATTATTATTATTATTGTTGTTGTTGTTATTATTAGAAAGCTTAATTTTTTTTAGTACTTAAAATTTGGGATAAAAAGCTTTTTAGTCCTCAACTTTTTTAAAAATACATTTTAATCACTTAAATTTAATAAAATATGATTTTAGTCCTTAAATACAAGATTTGAATGAAAAATAAGTTTGAAAAAAACTATATTATAATCGTCCAAATTAATTACATAGGGAGTAATATATATATATATATATATATATAATTTGAGAGACTAAAATAGAATTTTTGTTTATTTATTTTGAAGGACTAAAATCAGAATTACCCTAAATTTCATGGATTAAAACCATCGCCTAAATATAAATACATGTAAACTTCATGAAATTATTTGAACTCATTTAAGTTATAGTCATCAATCTTAATAATTTCATCAATTTTTTAAGAATAATAACAAATATATTATTTTTAAAATAATATTAATCTATTCATATACATTTTATTTATCTATTACAAATATAAATATTGAATTGATTTATTTAAATCAGTGAACAAAAAATGTAACATTTTAATAAAACAAAAAATGTTAATTACAAGTTGAAATTACATAGAGAAAAGTATCATTTTTAGTTAAAATCACTTATTCTTATAATAACCCACCAGATATTTTTGGTTCAATTGATTTTGTCGAATTTCATAATTGATTATGCTCAAAATTTGCATATGATCAATTATGTTTTTTAGCATAATTGATTATAACGAAGTAGTCCTCACAATCAATTATGACCAACATTAAAACTGAAGGGTACAACTGTAATTTCAATGCATAACATATGCATTTATACTTTTTTTTAGCAAAATGAAAGTGGAAAACTACAAATAAATTAATCTACGTATTTCAACACAAATCTATTGAACCAATCTAACGTCAGTCCTTTAAATCAACGCTAATCCTTCTTCGTAATCCTCGAAATAAACAAAGATTTAGAGAACAATAGATGTAAAGCGTGTTTTAATTTTTAATAAACTTTATAAGATATATATGTTAATATCATAAGTTCATTAGAAATATGATCAAAGGAGAGGAGTATAATATTAGTATTCAAGTGATATTGAACTTGATGTCCTTACATAAAGTTCTAAGTTTGAATTTTGTAAATAGAAAAATATGGTGTAGTTTTAAAAACCTAAAAAATTAAATTGAAATCATAGTTTGATAAATAATTTTTTTTTTAATGTATTCATTAATTTTATGTTGGGGCTCTCATACAATTTTTCAACTTATATGTCTTATAATTTTTTTAATTGATGCTCTATATTAGGTTTTATTATTTTAGTATTAATGTAGTAGTTAATTCTAATTATATTATGTGTTTTTTTTATGTATTTTCTTTTTCTACTTAAAGTTGATTCGTAATAAATTTAACAATTTTGCGTTAGGAAAAGAGAATATAAAGATAAACGATAGGAATTTTAGGAAGTTTAAATAGCAAACGACCCTATATCTCAAGAGAAATTAAAAATAAGTTGATCTTATATATCCTAATCTTATTATCTAATCTTGAGTTTTTTATATACATACAATCCAATCTCATTGAAGAATTAGATAATTGAAACTTCATAGTGTATAACTCTTAATTATAAATATATTACCCTATGTATATTTTAGACTCAAGGGAAATTACTCCTATATCTAAATTTTCACTATATTAAACAATAATCGAAAGAGGAAATCAAGACAAAAGTAAGGTGGTTAGGGAGGGTCAAAGAATCAAGGAATCGGTAGTTCATAATGATCGAATGAAAAATCGAGAAAAAGAGAAGATAAAAATTGAAGATCAAAGAATCGAAGGTTCATCATAATTGAATGGGAAATCAAGAAACACATTAGCAGAAGCGGATAATGTTTTTAAATATAAATCGAAGACTTAGAGAAATCGAGAAAGAACAAGGGAGACATTGAAAGAAGTTATCGAGATGTATAAACTTAGAGAAACCGAGAAGGAAAAAAGAGATATTGAGAGACAATTAAACAATTGAGAAAGACAGAGGATCGAGAAATAATTATATAATCGAAGAATATAATGCATCGAGAAGGAGTTACATAATCGAGAAACACATGTAGAAACAATTATAACCAACTATGTGACATGGACAGTTACAAGTGTTATTACATGACAATGGAACTACTCAAGAGAGGAGAGAAACAATTATAGGAAAGAAAACCGTTTTTTTTTGTTTATTTTATTTGTATTTTATTTTCTTAGAGATTACACAAAATAAAATATAAATACGATAAAATAAGTGTAATTAAGGGTGACAAATTGTTAGAATACGCTTATATTCTGAAAAGAGGTTGTGAATGATTAACTATTTCAATAGAGTTCTTAGAAATTTGGGTCACCATTTTTATTGGATTTCTTCATCAATTTCTCTTTTATCCTTGGTAATATGTTAAATTCACTTTTCCAGTAATTTACTCTTCCTACACATTTACTTTTCTTGCATGGTAATGAGTTAGATTCACTTTTCCATTAAATTACATTCCCAACACTTTATATTTCTTGCACATTTACTTTTCTCGCACTTTACTTTAATGTTTGAGCTAACATTGAAAATCCAAATACAAAATCAGAATTTATAAGCAAGAACTAAGTGATTGTGGTCAAAGCTTAATTGGAAGAATTATCTAAATTGAAAAGTGTTTACTTGCTACTCTAAAGAAAAAGAACACACAGTTGACAAATTGATTCATCTTGAACTATTAATTCATCTTGGAAAAAGTGACACGCCTGAAAAGTAAAATCGAACCAATTTGTATTAGAAACAAATTGACATGCCTAATGGGACTTATTAGTTATTTATAAAGACAAATTGGTGATTCATAAAATCAAATTAGTTCAGTAGTGGGAAAATATTGATGATTCATATGAAAAATGACCTTAGTCTAGTGAGAAAGTTCAAAAGTTGACTAGTTTTAAAGAAT